GCGGCTCTATTCGTTTGTGAACAAAGGAGGGCAAGTGGGAAGCTAGGGACCCTAATGAATGCAGAAACAGGATTTGGTTAGCTCAATCACAAGGTAAATGGCTCCATATTTAACGGTCTGGAATAATCTAGTTTCATAAACCTATAAAAACACAGCTGTGACAATTTTATACCACTGTACTATCAAGTGTATATAATTTTGTACAAAAACTGTGGCATACACTATAATGCATGGAAATATTTACGAAAAATTGTAGTTCTAGGTATACAAAAGTTATCATATAAATAAGAATGTACTGATAATCATACATGCAGAAAAGGAATCATAATAGCAGTGCCCAGAGGTACTCCTGGCTGTGTGCTTGGGAATCATGTTGTGTTGTTGATTAAATCTAGTAAATAAACACCACACATGTACACAACCCCTCTCTCTTTCTGGCACACTTTCTCACACTTTTTGTTTCTGGGCCACAACTGGTGGCGCTCAGGGCTTACTTCTGGCTCTGTGTTCAGGGATTACTCCTGGAGGGGCTTGGGGGGCCATATGAGGTGCCAGGGATCAAACCCGATTTGCCACAAGTAAGGCAAGTGCTTTACTCACTATACTATCTCTCACCTCTATCCCTGACCCTTCTGATCCCCCCCCTTCCGTTGAGGGGCGGGGTGGGGGAGGGGAGGATCACACCTGGCAATGCTCAGGGATTACTTCTGGCAGGGCTCAGGGGAACCATATGGGATTCGGGGGATCAAATCTTGGTCAGCCTCAGGCCAGAGTGATAATACAATAGGTAGGGTATTCTGCCTTGCACACAGCCAACCTGGGTTCAAGCCCCAGGATCCCATATGGTCCTAAGTAACTCCAGGAGTAATTCCTGAGTGCAGAGCCAGGAATAACCCCTGAGCATCGCCGGGTGTGACACCCTCCCCACCAAAAAATAAACAATGCATGCAAGGCAAATGCCCTACCCTCTATACTATTTTTCCAGCCCAATAACTTTTGTTGATCATATGTCTTACACAATTTTATATGAAATTTATGTAAAATTGCTTTTATAATTTCCCCCAAACATTTCATCTCACCAGATTCCACATTTTGTAACACATCGTCATTTTGTAACATGAATTCAAAAGACGAAATAGAATTTTCACAAAACTTCTCTAGAAGTTTCAATTTGGCTTTAAAAAAAAAATTTTTTTTTGGGGGGGGGGGGGGGGAGGCACACTTGGGCAATGCTCAGGGGAATCGAACCTGAAGAGATGAGCTCTGCCACTTGCATGACTTCTCCACCCTGACATGAGATTTACAGAGGTCTCATCAGATAGTCCAGTTTCCGTTTGGGATCCCCCCAGATGACTATAGATAATCTCCTTTCTATCTGGTGCTGGTCATTAATAGACAGCAGTGTCATGCATAAAGTGTACAGCTAGACATTTAATACTAGAACCCTCAAATTCCTCCTGACATAGTGTGACAGACGCACTGTGAACATATGCTCTTTCAATGAAATTCTGCACAAGTATTCCTGGAGAATGTTCCACTATTCTCTGGAAATAAACAAAAAACTTGAGGAATTCCCATTAGCACCAACTTTAAAATACCATGGCCTGGGGCTGGAGTGACAGCAAAGCTGGTCGGGTGTTTGCCTTGCACGTGCCCAACCCGGGTTCGAAATCCAGCATCCCATATGGTCCCCTGAGCACCGCCAGGAGTAATTCTTGAGTGCAGAGCCAGGAGTAACCCCTGTACATCGCCGGGTGTGACCCAAAGTAAAATAAATAAATAAATTTTTAAAAAATACCATGGCCTGCTATAGCTGGAAGGCAGCTGGAGTGCTGCAAGAAAAAAAATCAGGAAGAAAAAAATCTGGTTCAGTATCAACTCTACTATTAACCAGTTACATGACCTTCAGAAAGTTCAATTCTCTAAACATCACTACCCACCTTATAGAGGATTTGTAAGGGTTAAATTAGATAACAAATGGAAAACTGGGAAACAAACTGTAGATGAAGCTTCATTTCACACAAATGCATTGTTTGTAATCACTGACCCAACACATAAATACTGTCTTTGAAAGCCATCCTCTAACATACCATTTGCCCTCCAGTCACAGATAAGCACGCAGCTATCTGCTGTTTTCAGTTGTCTGATTTGCCCTCTTATCCCCATAAAGAACAGTCATCCTCCAAAGCTCAAAGGTTCTCCTTCAAAAAAGTCTTGCCGAATTCTTAAAGTATGTCACATCTCTCTACTGGTTTCCGGATCTTCTATATGTTGAATGTAAGTGACAAGGCCACTGCACTCTAAAATAGTCACATGCTGGCCTAATAGTAAAGCCCTGGGAGAGGAAATGCCAAATTTGATCTATTTTTCCCTTAGTGGACTGGAACTTGGGGTTTATTTATTTTTACTTTGGGGTCACCAGGGGGTATTCAGGGGCTACCTTGAGCTCTGTGCTCAAGATCACTCCTGGAGCTAAGGGAACTCTGTTATGACATGGACGGAGTCTGGCCCTCCACATACAAAGCATGCTTTCTAGCACACTGAGCAATCGTTCTGGCCTGGAACTTGGGACCTTTAAATTTTTTTCTACACCAAACAGTGTTCAGGGCTTACTTGTGGCTCTGTGCTCGGAGATCATTCCTGGAAGTGCTTAGAGACCTATAACGTGACAGGGATCAAGCCTGGGTCAGCTGCATGCAAGGCAAGTGACCTACCTACTATATAATCTCTCCAGCCCCAGAACTTGAAATTTAATACCAACTTTGTAACTAATTAGTATAATAAGTCTCTGGATATGTAAAGAAGATGGCTAGTCTATAATTATAATTTTCTAAGATCAATTACAGGACTAGATAGCACAAAAATCCTACATCCATGTTTTAAAATCTTTAGAATTTTCATGTAAGACAATATCACCAGTAGTTTTCATTAAATTATTTAGAAAAAAAGTGACATAAATAATAAAGTCAAGAATAAATTTTAGGGCCGGAGAGGTACATTAGGTAATTTACTTGCCTTGTACATGACAGACCTGAGTTTGAAATCCCCAGAACCACACATGATCCCCTGAGTCCCACAAGCCCTCCCAGGAGTGATAACCTAAGCTCAGAACTAGAGTAAACCCTGAGCACAGCCAGGTGTAGCCCAACAATAACAACAAAAATAACACACTCAAAAATTGTTACCTGAAAAGCCTACCTAGGATCATTACTGAAATAATACAGGTGTATGTTGTTCCCCAGTTAAATTTTTTTTCCATAACAGCAAACATATCAACTTGCTATATTATGGTTTCTTTTTATCCCTGTGCCAACAGCTGGGCCAGCTGCAGCGAACTGGTATTTTATACCACAAGTACTACCTTACTTAGCAACCAGGTAGGGCCACAGAGGAGCAGTTTCATGTGTGAAATCTCTTCAAAGATAGAAACTGCAGCACCCAAGAGATAGCACTTGCTTTGCATGCAGTTGAGCCTGGTTTGATCCCTGGCATGCACAAGGGCTCCAGAGTATTGCCAGGTGCAACCCTGGAGGCCTGAGTACCAGGAGGCATCTGGGTAATCCCCTGGCACCAAAGGGTCTGAGATGTGTCTTTGAAAACCATCCTCTAATACACCATTGGGCTCTCTCACTGAAACCACAGTCCTGGGCTGGAGAGTTAGTACAGAGGTTAAGACACCTGCTTTGAAGGTGGCTGACTTCAATCTGATGCCCAGCACCAGACTTATCCCCTGAACACTGCCAAAAGTGACTCCAGACCACTGCCAGGTGTGGCCACAAAACCCAGAGCAAAAACCAAACAAAAACTGAACTGCAGGCCCTGCTGTCTTGAGAATCACTGGGAGGGGTCCCCAGGTGCCTTAGCAGACCCTCCAAAAATTTTAAACCAAGTAAGCAGGGGGCCCGGAATGATACTACAGGAGATAGGGCATTTGCATTGCATACGGCCGACCCTGATTCAATCTCTAGCATCCCCTATGGTCTCCTGAGCAGCACTAGGAGTAATCCCTCCCCCCTTTTTTCTTTTGCTTCGTGGGTCACACCCAGTATTGCTCAGGGGTTACTCCTGGCTCTGCGCTCGGGAATTACTCCTGGCGGTGCTTGGGGGACCATGAGATGCCGGGCATTGAACCCCAGTCGACCACGTAAAAGGCAAACACCCTACCCGCTGTACTATCACTCTGGCCCAGGAGTAAGCCCTAAATGCAGAGCCAGGAGTAACCCTTAAGCACTGCCAGGTGTGACCCCAAAAGCAAACAAACAAAAAATAAGCAAATAAATTAAAAGGATAGAAATTTGATCTTAGTACTTGTCTAGTATTCCCAGCATCTAGTTTTGGGTCTTGTAAATGAATGGCATTCAGTAATCATTAGTGAATGAATATCTCTGTATTCCATTCTCTCGACACTCACCTCGCTAATATGTTCAGAAAAATAACGAATAAATCTTATGTCTGAAGTTCCAACACAAAAGAGTGGTGGGGGGGGGGCTGGAGCAATAGCACAGTGGGTAAGGCGTTTGCCTTGCACGCGGCCGACCCAGATTCGATGTGGTCCTCTGAGCACCACCAGAGGTAATTCCTGAGTGCAGAGCCAGGAGTAACCCCTGTGCATCGCCAGGTGTGACCCAAAAAGAAAAAAAAAAGTGGTGGGTTATCACCCAGTGCCATATCCTATGTAATACAGGTCTTAGAAGTAAAACAAACTTTAAAGCACGGTGGTTTTTATGGTTGGTTGGTTTGTTTTTGATGGACTGGGATGGGGGGGGGGGGCAATGCAAGCTAGGGACTGAACCCAGACCTCACCACTGAGCCACATGTACAGCGTGAAGAACAGATTTTTATACCTATTCCGGTTCATTTATAAACATTTCCAGTCATTTATAAACATTTCCAGTAATAACATTTAAAAATCCAACCGTATGCCAACAATAATCTATGACTCCTGAAGAAGGAAATTCCTAAATCGTCACTGCTCTAAATAAAAATAATGAAGAACTTACCATCATCTAAAGTGATGTCCTGAAGACCAATAGTTGAGAAGTTAGGCTCATGCTCTTCAGGTTCAGGTTTAATGTTCACAGTTGACTCATCAGGTGGAAATGAAGCTGGATCACACAAATTGTGACATATTAAGGATGAAGGAGCAGAAAGACCTCCCTGGCCTGTACTTTGTGCTTGAGTTGAATGTTGATCAGAATGCATTCTGGTGGTCAGAGACGGTGATGAGGCAGTTCCTGAGCTAGGATTCTGGTAAGGCATAGGCTGCAGCTGAGGAGATGGTGATGAGGGCCCAGAAAGTGGCGAACTGGCCAGGGGACAAGAGGCTGCTGGGGAGGCTGTTGGAGCAGGTCCTGAATGTGACGGGCTATACGTAATAGGCTGTAACTGAGGGGAAGGCTGGCCTGTGACCTGATCGGCTACAGGAGAAGAAAGAGATCTTTGTCCTGTGTTCGGGCAATGGTATCCTGTTGATGGCAGATGAGGCAGGGTCTGCATAGAATGAGGTGAATGGGGTAAGAGATGTCCTGCTGAGCCTGAATTCGAGGAATGAAATGGTATGGATGAAGGTGGTTGACAGCCAAGATTTATTAAACGAGGAAGAGCTGTATCCTGCTGAAACAGAACTGGATCAAATTCTTGACTAGAGGCAGCATTAGCAGGAAGACAAGACGGTCCACTGTACACAACATTACTTTGCATAGACTGATAGGAAGACGCCACAGGTGTTGGTACAACTTGAAAAGGCTGGTGAATGACTGAAGACGGTAGCACGTGCTGTTCTTTACCAGCACGCTCATCCCTACACTGCAACTGTGTCAGATGGGATGAGGTTATCAGGGATCCATATGTTTGCTGAACAGGACAAACCAAGTTTCTCTGTGCTGACAGTACACCATCACGGAGGTGTCCTGCATCTGAGGAAGGCCTCTGGCTCTGGGTAGAATGAGGCACAGGCAACGATGGAACTGAAGACAAGTCAATCTCTTCTCTGTGTTCTTGCTTCATCAAAACTGGGGGGGAGGGGGGGAGAAACAAAACCTACCAGTCACCTAGTTTTGATTTTTCATTTTATAGTACATGTAACATACTTGTAAGAGATTTTTATTCTAGACAACAAATTTAGCAAGTCAGGAACTGAAAACAAAAAGCCTTCAGAGAAGGAAGATAAAATAAGTGAAAGCAACAAGTGTAAGACAACAAGGAGTGATTCCTGATAAAAAAGTATTCAAGTTAAAAAAGTTACTGAATACTATACAGAACTCTATAAAATGATGCTGGAAAGTTTTCTAAGATATGCTGCTAAATTGACAAAGATAGAGAACTATATGAAATCTTACAATTCATGCAAAGTGTTATTTTTATGAATGTATGAGTGAACTCTTATGCTTATTTCTAGAAAAATGCATGAGACTGATGATACTTGCTGGGAAGGGAAACTAAGTGATTAGGAGCAGGAGACTTTTTTTTTTGTGGCAGGGGTGCAGGCAAATACCCAGCAATGCCCAGGGATTACTCTTGGCTCTACACTCAGGAATCAGTCCTGGCAGTGCTCGGGGGCCATACTGGATGCCAGGGATGGAACATGGGTTGGCCATGAGCAGAGCAAATGCCTTACCGGATATACTATCACTCTGGCCCAGGCAAAAGAGACTTATTGCTGTTTTTGTGCCTCCCAATTATTTTTCACCGGATATATATATATATATATATATATATAAAGAACTATCCATAACCTATGGATTTAAAAAGGACCTGAGTTTCGGCTCTCTGATCTGAAATCTACCAGGCATCTAGTTTACATTTAGCACCAAACACCAAAAACCATGAAATCTGACACTCACTGAGCTTTTAGTTCACCATGGTTTTCTCACCCATACTTTATTTAATTCAACCATCTTTTTCTACAAGAGAAATCACGAGATAAAAAATAACAGTAGAGGGCCAGAGGGATAGTACAGTGGGTAGAGTGCTTGCCTGGCACACAGCTGACCTGGGTTCAATTCCCGGTATCATATGAACCCCCGCACCACAAGAAGTCATTTCTGAGTGCAGAGCCAGGAGTAACCCGAGTATCACCAGGTATGACCCAAAAAGCAAAGCAAAACAAACAAAAAACCAAGTAAGCAAATAAAAGAATAGGAATTTGATCTTAATACATGTCTAGTACTCCCAGCATCTAGTTTTGGGTCTTGTAAATGAACAGCATTCAGTAATCATTACTGAATGAATATCTCTGAATTTCATTCTCTAGACACTGACCTTGCTATAAAATTTCAGGAAAACACCGAATAAATCTCATGCCTAAAATTCCAACACAAAAGAGTGCTGAGTTAACATCCAGTGTCATACCCTTTGTAATACAAATGTTAGAAAGCCAGTATGCTACCTGCTGTACTATCTCTTTGTCCTTAAACCATTTTCCTTTCTAAAAAATTAAAATAAAAAATTCACAGTAATAAATTTTACAAAGTTTTTATTCAAAATTTTATTAAAAAAAAACCCCAAAACTCAAATGCTACAAAGGAAAATAGAATAACCAACCAGAACAAGGATTGTCTATATACTCTGGTGTGTGCATAGTTCATCCTTCCGTTAGTCAACCCTGTGGCGAGTGACGACAGCTGCAGTTCAGTTCAGTGGCTCTGTTCACCCTAGGGCACCTCTGCCTTCTATTCTCATATGCAACGCCCTTCAGGACTCTGCCTTTGTTATGTTACCTTCCCAATTCACAAACTAATGATGCAGAGGCATTATACTGTCTTCTATTTGTCTCTTTAACTGCTATCATCATTATGATGGCTGTCATCAAAACTTTTTTTTTTTTTTTGGCTTTTTGTGTCATACCCGTTGATGTTCAGGGGTTACTCCTGGCTCTGCACTCAGGATGCTGGGGCTTGAATCCATGTAGGACTTATGCATGGCAAATGCCGTCGCTGTACTATTGCTCCAGCCCCAGCAATCTCTTTCTTATTCAGGTTAGATCATGCATCTCCCAACTCAATAGCATTTGATAACAATCTTGTGCTGACATCTATTTTTTTAAATATTTTTAATTGAGGTACTATAATTTACAAAGTTACTCACAGCACCCAACTTTACAGTCAGCCATGATCAAATTCCATGTATATAATTTTCCCGACCTCAATCCTATCACCAGTGTCAGAGATCACTTCTGCCTGGGCTCTGGGGCCATATGGGGTGCCAGGGACCGAAACTGCATCAACCACATTGCAGGGCAGATGCTGTAAATGCTGTTTATTATTCTGGCTTCTATACTTTTATATCTTCAGTAAATCCTAAAGGAACCCGATCAGTTTTCACCACCTGCACTCAAAAGTATGTAGCCCCCAGGCAAACAAAAAAGGAAAATAATTTGAGTACTGCTTTAAAAAGTCATACTGGGGAAGGTAAGATGGTTCAAAGAGCTAGAGGCCTTAAGTGTGATCCCTGACACTGTAGAGATTCAAGCACTTGAACCATCATGTTTGCCAGCACACTTAAATATGGCCAGGAGTGGCCTTGGTCACCAAATACTGAAATACTGTCCCCCCCACCCATCCACCCGGCAAAAGAAGTTGCACAGCAAGGCTAATTTTTTGGGGGGGAGGGGCACACCCAGAGATGCTCGGGGGTTGCTTCTGGCTCTGCACCCAGGAATTACTCCTGGGAGTGTTCAGGGGTATGCCAAGGAATGAATCTGGGCCAGCCGAGTGCAAGACAAATATCCTATCTCCTGTACTACAGCTCCAGCCCCATCACAGGCTAATTTTCATTCATAATTTTAAATTTAAAAGAATTTTAATAAATTTAAAAGAACTGTCTCCGCCCCGAGCAGAGCCCCGACAGCTGAAGACCTCAGGGACCCAGCCAAAGCCATGCTGAGACCACTCTCCACACACTTGGATGAGGAACTGGCAGAGGAACCCAGGTGTGCGGGATTCGGGGCTGAGATCTCCAGGCCTGCTTGGTTCGGGACTGGGTCTCCTCCACCCAGCTCCCCCACCTTCCAGTAGCTAGACACCCACCAACTGCTGTGTAACCCCATCAACGGCCATCCAGAGACTATAAAACCAAGCTCCCGGAAGCATGCGGCGGCATTTGTGGCCGTGCAACCTCTTATTCTCTAGTTCTCACTCTCAGAGAACCTGGCAGGTTACTGAGAATATCATACCTGCCTATATGCCTTACTAGGAACACCTGTAAAGGTGATTAGAGGCTGCCCCAAAAGCTTCCATCCATCTCGGAGAGCCCAGCAAACTACCAAGAGTATCCCACTCGCACGGCAGAGCTGACAAGCTATCCGTGGCGTACTCGATTTGTCAAAGATAGTAACAATGAATGGTCCTCATTCCCCTGACCCTGAAGGAGCCCCCAATATGTCATTGGGCTACATTGCATGTGACAGGGATGAATGGAGATGTTACTGGGCCTGCTCGAACGAACTGAAGAACAACAGGGTGATAGTGAATTTTAAATTTACGAATGACAACATCAAAGGTATCTGTCAATCACACTTAAAATCCTGCTAGATTTCGAGAATACCTTATTCTCCCCCCATTCTTTATAATTATTTTGGACTTCTCCATCCCATCATTTAAACTGTCGAAGAGTCAAATCAGATTGCTGTCTACTCACAAAGAATTTCACTCCATCTTTATAGGGGGGCTATAAGGAACCTCCCTAATCTCTCTACAAAATCTACAAACCTCCCAATTTACAGTCAACTTCTTCATCTTTACCTTTTCCTCCTATTCCTTCTCCCATCTAAAGCTCATTTCCACATTCATTTTTTTTTATTTATTTATTGAATCACTGTGGGAAAGGTTACAAAGCTTTCAGGTTTATGTCTCAGTCATGCAAATATCAAACACATTTCCCTTTACCAATACTTATTTTTTACCATGAAGAACCCCAATAAACCCCCACCCCCCACCCCTCCCCGTCCCTGTGAGGCAGATGAATTCTAGTTAACACTCTATCTGCTTTGATTAGATTCATTGTTTCAATAAAAGATTCACCACTATTATTTAGAGTTTACCCCCCCCCCCAAATCAGACATGCTGAAAAAGCATTGTGAAGTGATTTGCTTTCTACAGCTGGGTTCAAGAATTAAATGTTGGTTTTGGATTTCTGCTATTTTACCTATTGACCCTGGAAGTATTTCTACTGAAAGTCAGATAGTTAAGAAATTGGTTTCTGTGTTCTGGAGTCGTGGCCGTGCTGGAGAGCCGCTCGCGGGGGGCAACCGGTGGCCTCGGTAGGGCGTGAAGGGCGGAGCGAAACGCCCCCCTTCCCATGAGGTTTTAGTCGCCCCCACACTCCCGGCTCATACCTGCTGTCCACAAGGCTCCCATGTGGCCGCCATCTTTCTTTCCAGAGAGGAGAGGGCGAATGGGGCAACACCCTTTCCCCTCCGGCAGACTTGATGGGCTGGATCAACGCATAGTCCGTTCACTTTTCTGCTCCAAGCTGCTGGGTTCTGCATTATCCACATTCATTTTTTAAAATCCCGCACCTTATCATCACTGATATTCTCTTCTCTATATTTTTAACATTCAAGTTGTTTAAAAGCAACAATAAACAGCAACCCCTTTCAAAAAAGGGGAACAATAGACCCTTCCCAAGGAGGACATATGGACAGTCAGTAGGCATATGGAAAAGTGTTCATCATTAGTTATCACCAGGGAAATGAAAACGACAATGAGATATATCATAGAGTGAGAAAAGCACATATAAAAAATAATGGAAATAACCAATCTTGGCAAGGATGTGATGAAAAAGGAACCCCCATTCTCTGTTGGTAAGAATGTCATCTGGCTCAGCCTTTAGAGAAAGCAGTATGAGTGTTCTCAAAAAATAAGAACAGTGTTTCCATTGTGGGCAGACCTCCAAGATGGAGAATGTGCCTGAAAAATCTTTTAGCCTAGTCAGGGGCCCCTCAGGGTCTTGCATATAGTTAATAAATAAAACACAAATACAAACTTTATCATAATAAAATGTGATGGTTATAACTAATAAAATATGATATAGATGTTCCAAGAGCATAGAAATCAAGCTCAGGGGATCATATGAGATGCTGGGGATAAAACAAGTCAGTCATATGCAAGGCAAGTATCTTAGCCTGTATAATATCCGTCCGGGTAGAAGAGTATATTTTGAAGAATAAGAGTTACTGATAATTTTGTCTGATGATGACTGGAGGTCCTGGGGTGGAGGAGAGGGGAGTTTGGGGCTATACTCACTGTGCTCTGGGCTTATTCCTGGCTCTGTGCTTAGGAATAACTCCTGGTCTTGCTCAGGGGACATGTGTGATGCCAGAATTGCATTGCCCCTCAGCACCAGTGGGGGACTCAAGACTCCTGTACATCCTCTACTCCATGCCCTCCCCTACTCCAAAGGAATGTAAAAATCTCCCTTGTGATGGTATCTATAGATCTACAGAACTCTGGCATCAACTTTACTCTCGCCACAGTCAAGATTCATGGCTTGTTATAGTCACTTCTTGCCAAATACAAAAATCTACCAAGAGATCTTTTTTTAATCTACTTGGGTATGGCTCAAAGACATTATGAAGCTAGCAAACTGTCTTTCCAGTTCTAAGATGAATTCACACATACTCAAATACTTGTTACTGCTGGTGACTTTTGGTAGCTTCTGGAGAAAAAAAAAACACCTTCAAATCTACATTTAATCTTCTAATTTCCTTGAAATAAATGAGCACAACTGATATCACAGTTAATGTTTTAAAGTCAACAAAAATTATATACTAGGTACATACTGACACCTTTTAAAAACATTTTGATAAGGATTTACTGAACAATTTCTTATCATTATGAAAGAAAGCACTACAGTAAGCCATTACAACTTCTCATACCTGGTGTGTAAGTAAAACGTTGAGACTGGCTTTTCTTCCTCTTGCCATTGCAAAGATAAAAGTGCACCTGCACAGCAGCTGTAACTGCTGGGTTATGATACGGAGGAACTTCAAGGACTATGTGAGCCTGAGGAGCATAGAAAGCAAGATTATGTTACACTCAGAACTAAAAATGAAATGCACCTGCTAAAACCATGAGTTTTAACTACCCAGACTGATCATTACACCCATCAGTTGGTCATGTAAGTCATCTGGAGATGACATTTCAGTCTTAATTGAGATGCTCTTTAAATATTAAGGACTGAAGAGACAGTACATTAGGCAGGGCGCTTGCCTTGTGTGCAGAGCCCCAGGTTTGACTCCAGCACTCCGTAAGGTCCCCCGAGCACCACCAGGAATAATTTCAAAGTGCAGAGCCAGGAGCAAGCCTAGACGTCAGGGCGTCACCTCCAAAAACAGATCAAGTAAACATCAAGGAGAAACTGTTTCTTTTCCATTGAGTTTCCAGTTAAAGGAAAAATTAAAAGATTAAAAGATTTGGCTCAGTCACATTTCACGCATATGTGAGGCACTGCTTATTGTACAGGTTCAGTTTACTGTACTGCAAAACAAAAACCTAATCCTATATACTTTATAGTCAGATACTTTGCTCTACTGTCTTACATATTACATGCAATTAAACATTTTCCCCCTCCTCCCCTAGGTGGGGGTGTGAGGGCAGGGGTTTGGACCAAACCCTGCAATGCTTGGGGGTGACTCTCAATAGTGTTCAGTGAACTATGTGTTGCCAGAGATTGAACTGAGGATGGCCACATGCAAATCAAGCACATTATGCCTGTACTAACTCTCTGGCCCAAACATTTTGTTTGTCTTGCTGCCGTGCCCAGTGATGCTCAGAGCTTACTCCCGGTGGTGCTTGGGGGACTGTGTGGGATTGCTGGGTATTGAATTAAGGCTGAGTACCTTATGCCCTGTACTATCTCTCTGGACCATTTTTGTGTTTTTGGGAGACCATAGCCTATACGCAGTCTGGCTCTTTATCTCAGGGAAGATTGTTTGCTTGTTTTTGTTTAGGGGTTTTGTTTTGGTGATGCTCAGGGGTTACTCTTGGCTCTGCACTCAGGAATTACTCTTGGAGGTGCTCGGGGGACCTTATGTAATGCTGGGGATTGAACCCAAGTCAGTAGCAGCCACAGCCCTACTCACTCTACCTACTGTGCTATTTCTACGGCCCTCAAGGAAGATTTTCTATTCCAACTAGGATGAAAAGACCATAGTTTTCACTGTTTCATAGTTTTCATTACCAGGTTTGATGAAGTAGCTAAGAAGTTGGGAAAGGTGTGTAAAACGTAAACCCGTGAGAGCTTGTCTTCTTCCTATCCTTTATCCACTATATTTTTTACTCATTTTTCCTTCCTGCGTGCCTTCTTCCTTTTTTAAGGTTTTGGGCCAGACTCAGTTGCGATCAGGGATCACTCCTGGCAGGGCTCAGGAAACTACATTGAGTGTCAGCGATTAAACCAAGGTTGGCCACATGCAAGGCAAGTGCCATATGCACCGTACTACCTCACTGAACTTTTTCAATTTCTTTACTGAATTTAGAAAAATAAATTAATGATACTTCAGGATAGCCCTTCTAATAATTTTTCATTTCTAATTTCTCCTTTCCTATAAACATGAAGTACTGGTAGATGCAGCAGAAGCCGGGAAAAGTATTCGTAACGCCTGCCTGTCCTTCGCCAACTACAAGACCAAGATGACTGCCCTCCGACATCCTGATGGATCCATCACATCCTCCAGAACGGCAATGGAGAAGATTATCCATGACTTCTACTCAAATCTCTTCGATAGCCATGTCCACTTGCCGACATACCAAATTCCACAGGATGGATATGTCGTTCCCAACGTTCTCCCTTCCGAAATCCGACACGCCATTTCATCGGTAAAGAAACAAACAGCACCCGGCCCAGACAAGGTCAGACCTGAACACCTGAAGAACCTGCCGTCAGTACTCATCAATACACTGGCTCGGCTCTTCACTCGCTACCTGTATGAATGCAAGGTTCCATCCCAATGGAAAACCAGCAGGACCGTACTACTGTTCAAGAAGGGAGACATCCATGACATTGGCAACTATCGCCCAATCTGCCTATTGTCTGTCATCTACAAGTTGTTCACTCAAGTCATCCTAAATAGGATTGGCAGAACACTAGATGAAGGACAACCATGCGAGCAAGCAGGGTTCCGCAAAGGATTCAGCACCATCGACCATATCCACACAATAACCAAGCTCATTGAGGTTTCTCGGGAGTTCAAGATGCCACTCTGTTTAACGTTCATTGATTTAAAGAAGGCCTTTGATTCTGTTGAGACGGAAGCAGTCATTGAAGCCCTAGCCAATCAGGGCATTCAAGCCCAATACATCAGGATCCTCCGTGAGCTGTATTGCGGATTCACTACCAGGATCTCACCATTCTACAAAGAAGTGATCGTTGATGTCAAGAGAGGGGTGCGGCAGGGTGATACCATTTCACCGAAACTCTTCAGTGCCACCCTCGAGAACATCATGCGACGACTGGAATGGGAAGGAATGGGAGTGAAGATAGATGGTCGGCAACTACACCACCTCCGCTTTGCTGATGACATTGTTTTAATAACACCAAACATCAGCCAAGCGGCACAAATGCTGGCCGACTTTGACCGTGAGTGTGGAAAGGTAGGACTACAGCTGAATCTTACGAAGACAATGTTTATGAGAAACAGCCTCGTTCCTGACGCCCCATTCGCTCTCAACGGAACGACCACCTCCGAATGCAACAGCTATGTGTACCTAGGTCGAGAGGTCAACATGACAAATGACCTGGCACCCGAGCTGCGCAGGAGGAAGAGAGCGGCTTGGAACGCCTTCAAGAACGTCGAAGAAATAGCTAAGAGGACGAAGAAACTCCGGCTCTGGGCACATCTCTTTGAAATGAGAGAAAGAATCCGGAGTTCTGACATCCGTCGACGATCAAGAATCAGGGACGCTATCTCATTTGCCAAGGTGTCGAAAATCAGATGGGCTGGTCACGTGATGAGATTTAAAGACGACCGCTGGACTAGAGCTGTTACCGACTGGATTCCACGGGATGTCAAAAGACCGCGTGGCTGCCCACCTACCAGATGGTCAGACTTCGTCAAGATCATGAACGATCGATTTGAGGCCCTTCATGTTCCCGGAGCGAACAGATGCCATTGGGCTACACTAGCACGCGACAGAGACAAATGGAGATGTTACTGGCGCCCGCTCTAGCAAATCGATGACTAACGGGAAGTTAAGGTAAAAAAGGTAAAGGCCCTCCTGTTGATCGTCGATTTGCTCGAGCGGGCCCAGTAACGTCTCCATTGGAGACTTTGTTGTTACTGTGTCTGGCATATCCAATACTCTCGGTAGCTTGCCGGGCTCTCCGAGTTAAGTGATTATAAACATGAAAAAGAGATACAAATTATCTTTCTGTAGACTTTAATTTTAATAATGAGGAAAGTATCTACTCTCAAATCCAAACCTCTAAAATTTGAATTTTCTTTTACTAAAAAGATAAATTATTTCTTCTTCTTTTTTTTTTTTGTGCTTTTTGGGTCACACCTGAATCGAACCTGGGTTGGCCGCATGCAAGGCAAACGCCCTACCCGCTGTGCTCCAGCCCCGATAAATGATTTCTTATACCAGACAGCGATAGCACAGCGGTAGGGCATTCGTTCGCCTTACAAGCGGCCAACATGGCCGACCCGAGTTCGATTCCTCCGCCCCTCTCGGAGAGCCCGGCAAGCTACCGAGAGTATTCGATATGCCAAACACAGTAACAACAAAGTCTCCAATGGAGACGTTACTGGGCCCGCTCGAGCAAATCGACGATCACCGGGAGGGCCTTTACCTTTACCTTTTTATACCAGACAGCAGAATTATCAAATTTTCTCATAGTGACTTAAGTATTTCTATTAAAATATGTAAATTTCTTACCCCTTGACATTTTTCCCTGATTATTTTCCCTTCTACCTCCCACTGAGGTCTTCCATCTGTTGAAAAAACAGCAGTTTACAATTAGAAGCGATTCAAATGAGAAAGCATCTTAACAAAATATAAGGTATTTTGTATCAAATGTTATTTTCAAAGAAACTCTTTTCTGACTTACATTATGAAACAGAATGTGTGCCCATGGGGGGGAAATGGGAGAAAGATTTGGGCCTCACAAAGTTCATTCTACCAAGAGATGTTTGAAAACCCTGAGAGCAGCACGCCTAACCAACTTCGACTTTATTTACATTACATTAAGTAATGAAAGACTCACTCCCTCACCAAGTAATCCATTCATGTTTGGCCAATAACTAATGCTGGGAAGCTTTTAACATTAAATAAAATCTGTCCCTTACAATATCCAATCGATGGCCTAAGTATTACTCCTTGCAGCCATCTCCCCCAGAATCATGAGTGCTCCTTTATGTTTGCCTTGGTTTTCTTCTGCTGCTGGCCACCATGGTCAGTTCTGTGTCTATTCTTTACACAGTATTTTATTCTGATAACTCTTCCTTCAGCGAGACCATCTCCAGCAAATGCACCAGGCCCAGGACTGAAAAGCACAAATGAGAAATGATCCAGTAATGCAAGTAGTGCTGGGGAGGCTCCCGCCACCTGATGACTATGTACTATGTCATCTCAGTTACCAGAAGTTTTGGAGGCAGATGCAGCATCCTGACTTCTCTATGCAAGCAGGAAGGAGTTTCTCAGCCTACTGCCACATTTCCTACTGCCACGTTCAAGTTCCCACACTGAACAATTAAACTTAATTTCTTTTTCCAAGAATTTCATTTTTCCTGGATTCATGACTTGCCAAGATATTTTTTTTATTATTACTTTGGTTTTGGAGCTGTACCCAGCAGTGCTTAGGGGTTCTATGTTCAGGAGTAAGCACAGAGGTGCTTGGGGGACCATGTGGTGTAGGGAGTGAACCCAGGTTGGCCACCTGTAAGGCAAGTGCCTGACCTCCTGTACTAAGACTCTGGCTTATAACATATTTTTGGATATTGATAATTTCTAAAACATTAGCTAACTTTTCCAGATTTGTATCGCTTGAAGATCCAATCAGCACATTTTCATGTTTTCTGTTTTTCTGCTACACCTGGTGGTGCTCGGGGCTCCTGAATCTGTGCTCAGGATTACTCTTCCTGGGGCTCAGCAGACCACCTGGGGTGCTGAGGACCCAATCTAGGTTGGCCACATGGTAAGTTCACTACCCGCTGTTACTCTGTCCAGGCCCCATTTTCTTTTCTTTTCTTTTCTTTTTTTTTTTTTTGCTTTTTGGGTCACACCTGGCGATGCACAGGAGTTACTCCTGGCGGTGCTGGGGGACCATATGGGATGCTGGGAATCGAACCCGGGTTGGCCACGTGCAAGGCAAACGCCCTACCCGCTGTGCTATCTCTCCAGCGTCCCAGGCCCCATTTTCACTACTTGGCCCAAGCGGAGAGTCCCATCTGCTATCAAAGCATTTGCTTCAATCTAATGTGCATCTTACAAGTACCTTCATAGCAATGTTTCTCCAGCTGGTCTGTGATAAGAGGTAAAACTCAATCAAATATGTTACACATTGTGATATTGGACTGGAGATGTAGCTCAGCAGGAGAGCATTTGCCTTGCATGTGTGAAGTCTTGGCATTACTCCCCAGAACCTCCCCCACACCCAAAAATAAGGCTACCTATACTCTATCATTTTCCAGTCCAGCAAGGAGAAAAAGACACTACAGACAAGTGCTATATCTATTAAGAATTAAAGCTTGGTTCAGTGATCATTTGCTAGGTGCCAATTTTCCAGGCATTGTGCCAAGTCATGAAGACAACAGAGATAGGGAGAGAGACACAGTACAGTGGGAAAGGTGCTTACCAACCTGGGTTCAATCCCTGGAATTCCATACGGTCCCCTGAGCACCACTAGGAGTGATCCCGGAGCGCAGAGCCAGTATTATTAAATCCGGAGTACAGCTGGCTGTCACCCAATGCTTCCACCCGCCCCTCCACCAAAAAAAGGATAATAGGATACCTTGCCTTCAGTTTATAAATAAAAGTGCAAACTGTTCATAATAATAAAATGTGATAGTTGTAATAACTAATGAAGTATAATGTAGATGTTCCAAGAGCAAAGAAATCAAGCTCCTTAAGTTAGTTTTGGGTGAGAAAAAAAATATATGTGTATGTATAAGGAAAACTTCCAGGAACATGGCTTGGTGGTGGAGAACTTGCCTTCTTTACCAAAAAGCCTTAACATAAATGAAGAAGGTAATACTGAAGATAGTTTTAGAATAGGAGTAAATTACATATCAATGCAGTTAAAAAGAATGGAAATAAAATCCTGCTGTGAAATAACAGGAAAATAAACAGACATATGGGTTTCTGCATCCAGTGCCTGGCATAGAGTTCCCCAAAAATGTTTGCAATTTCCTGAGTGATAAGAGCACTAAAAGCATCTCTTGCTCTAATACTTGGTCTCTGGCCTCAGTTCCTCACACAGAGGTCCCAAATCCCTTGGAATTTCCTGGGTGATAGGTAAATCTTTTTTAGAAGGAGGTAGCTCTTGGACTCCTGGATTTGGGGACTGATCACTAGAAACACCAATCCGTTATTAAAGTGTTGGAATTTTAAGCTCCACCTCCCATTCTCCAGAGGAAGGCTGAAAAAGAATAATCAATCTGTGTGGGGAATTGTAAGAAGGACTCATTAAAAATTTTCGACAGGGGTGGGGGCAAGGAGTAATAGTACAGCAATAGGGCATTTGCCTTGTACACGGCTGACATACGGGCCTTTCTTTTTCTTTTTTTCCACTTTATTTTTATTGAATCACTGTGAGATACACTCTTAACAAAGCTGTTCATGATTGGATTTCAGTCATACAGTATTCCAATACCCATCCCTCTACCAGAGTACATTTCCCAGCACCAGTGTCCCAGGATCCCTCCCATCAACCTTACCTTGTCCTTTTTCAAGAAAAATAATTTTGGATTCTGGAAGAAAATTAGATCCTGTCACAATCATCTCATGACCTCCGTTTACAGAACAGCTGTTGATACTATACTTCTCAATATGAGGAAGTTCCTGAGCAGACCGCTGGGCTGTTTAAGAGTTGAGTAAAAACAAAATTTCAGCTTACAACTTTCCATACACAAATGAACCATAAAATGAAAATAAATGTTTAAAGCTCCAGACTTTAAAAATTCAGGACAATGTAACAATATCCATTAAATAATGAGTAGGTTGGACCTTAGAGAAAGATCAGTGAGCTGAGCATATGTAAAGTGTGATTTGTACATGGGAGACCTGGGTTTGATCCCTGGCACTGCATGATCCCCTGAGCACCACTTAATTTACCCCCAAGTAGAGAGAAATAGCCCCTGAGTATTGACAGCTATGTGCCCCCCTGTCCCCCACAATCAATTTTTACAATAACTATGTGTTGGCCTGGTGGTGCTAGGGGGCAACAAAGGTTACACTCAGCATTTCTTGATAGACCATGTGGTGCTGAGAATCAAACTCACAGCCTCCTAATGTAAACTGTGTGCTCCCACTCTGAGTTCTATGCTTGACACTTGAATGTAAAAGATACTTATGGTGGAAACTGGGTATCACAATGTAGAGTGGCATAGCTCTACATTCAAACCACAGACTTAACAACACTAAAAACATGAGATCCAAACAATCACAAGTAAGTATAAAGTAGTAGCAAAAAGAAACTCAACAAACTGTCACTGTCACTGTCCTCCCACTGTTCATCGATTTTTGCAAACGGGCCAGTAACGTCTCCATTGTGAGACTTTGTTGTTACTGTGTTTGGCATACCGAATACGTCAAGGGTAGCTTGCTAGGCTTTGCAGTGCGGGCAAGAAACTCTCGGTAGCTTGCCGGCTCTCCAAGAGGGGCGCAAGAATCGAACTCGGGTCGGCCATGTTGGCTGGGTGCAAGGCACGCCCTACCCGCTGTGCTATCAAAAAAAATACTAAAACAGGGGTCAGAGACAGTATGGAGAGTTCTCAGCATACTTGAAACTGAACTGCCATACAACCCAGTAATTCCACTTTGGGGCATCTACCCCCAGGACACAAAAACATTCATTAAAAAGGACACATGTGGGCTGGAGTGACAGTACAGCAGGTAGGACGTTTGCCTTGCATGCAGCTGACCTGGGTTAGATCCCCAGCATCCCACATGGTCCTCTGAGCACTGCCAGGAGTAATTTCTGAGTGCAAAGCCAGGAGTAATCCCTGTGCATCGCCGGGTGTGACCCAAAAAGTCAAAAAATAAATAAAAACATAAAAGGACACATGCACACCATTATTCATTGCAACACTTAGTTGAAGATATGGAATCAACCTATGGTTTTGATTCCATATGACATTCATATGACCCAATGACACAATGAAATATGAAGATGTGGCATCTACATCTACATACAATGGAATATATAGCTGCAAGAAACAAGGAAATCATGCATTGTGCTGCAACTTGGATAGAACTGGAAGATATGTTGAATGAAGTAAACTAGAAGGATAAGAACAGGATGATCAAGTTATTTGTTGCATACTGAATAACTGAATGAGGGAATGCAATGTAATAATGGGGTGATGCCTTCATCAACCTTGACTCCAATGCATAGGGAAGAAGACAGAAAAGGAAATAAATCAAAGAGAGAAGAAAGAAAATGAGAAAAGAGAAGAATGGGGGAGCAGGTGTCAGGGGCCTCGGGTACACTGGTAATGTGGAGTGGCATAGCTCTATATCCAAACCACAGACTTAACAACACTAAAAACATGAGATCCAAACAACCACTACCAAATTTGATTTGTGCTAGAACATTCACTGTATCATTGTATCACTGTCATCCCGTTGTTCACTGATTTGCTTGAGCAGACGCCAGTAACGCCTCTATTCGTCCCAGCCCTGAGATTTTAGCAGCCTCTCCTTACTCGTCCTTCCCAATGCTGCCGTCTAGGAGGCTCTTTCGGGGTCAGGGGAATGAGCCCCGTTTTGTTACTGTTTTTGGCATATCGAATATGCCACGGGTAGCGTGCCAGGCTCTGCCATGCTAGAACATTGTATGTCTAAAATTCAATTAGCAATAACTTTGTACATCATAATTCATTAAGTAAAAACTTTTTAAATTAAAAAATAGAAGGAGGACCATGAGAGATAACAACAGCTTTGCATGTGGGAGTCCCAGGTCTTATTTCTGGTACTGCATGGTCCCCTATTACTTCCAGCTGCAATCCCCAAGCACTGCCAGGTGAGAATGAAAATAAAAATACTAAAAATGTATGCCTATGTTAAACAAGTTATAAAACTGTGACAGACAAGTACAACTCAAAGGTTACGAGGAGGGAGAGGATTCAAAGAACTGGAGTGCTTGCAAAGTGCATGCAGGAGTCTAGGTTTGATCACTGGCACCACATGGTTCCCAGAGTACTGCAGGTTATGGCCCAAGAACCAAAAATAAACCAACAAAAGTGTATCTAGCGATTATCTATGCTGACTACCAAAGGGGAGTAATATTACAAGGCGCTAAATACATTCCTTGATACAATTCTGTATCTTCTATATTCTTAACAATCATCACATTCTAATTTAATAATTAAAAAAATCATTTAAATAATCCATCTCAAAAACCCAAACTACTGCATGAACTCATAATTGCTTTTGGAAAAAAAATAGACATTTATGCTTAGATGAGAATAGACTACTACTCTGGAAAGGAAATAAATATATTAGCAAAGACATACTCAGAGGGATACTGCTGACTTAGAAATTTACTTTGCAATCAATACTCTTATACTCTAAAAATCTACATCAGGAAGCATATTATATATTTTATTTAGCACTGTCTATAGCACTGTCCCACCGTTTGTTGTTTACTGATTTGCTCGAGCGGGCACCAGTAATGTCTTCATTGTGAGACTTGTTAATGTTTTTGGCATATCAAATACACCATGGGGAGCTTGCCAGGTTCTGCCCTGACTGCGTTACCAAGAGTAACTTGCCGGGCCCTCTGAGAGGGACAAAGGAGTCGAACCCAGGTAGGCCCTGTGCAAGGCAAATAATGCCCTACCTGCTATTGCTCTGCCCATGTATTTTATTTAATTATATTATTAATCTATTTTGAGGTATTAAAAATAACTTTTACAATGAGTCACTATAAATTTACTCAATAATTCCCATAGTCAATTAGATTAAAAAAAGATTATTCCCATTTGGCTAGAAGGCACAGAAAGACAGTATAGTAGATATAGTACCAAACTAAGAATGAATATATTTAACAAAAATAATTGATAAAATGACAAAAGCAATAAGAAAAATATGTTCTAGGTACAGTTCTGTCACCAATACACAACTTTTTGAATAAGTATGAGTACTTAAGAGACTTTATCTCAGTGTCCTCCTGCAAAAAATTAAGACATGGAATTAGAACATTTCTACATCTGTGCCCTAGAAAACAGAGCCAAGAATATAAACTCAGCAAGAGTACTTGCCATGTGTGTATGTGCTGGGGCTTGAGTTCAATTTCTGACACCAAGACAAAATTTTTACAAGAAAAGAAAAATAAAAATCCAGACAACAGTCTCATAATTTTAGTCCTATCAGCTAGCTTTCAGAGGTCCCAAATTTTCCAAGCTTGAGTAGATTTTATGGTCTTTTATCATTTATCATCTTTTTAAATCATAGAGCTTTAAAGCATTAGCACATGGCCGACCCAGGCTCAATCTCCAGCACCCTATATGTTCCCCTGAGCCTGCCAGGTGTGATTGCTGAGTGCAGAGCCAAGAGTGACCCATGAGCACCACCGGGTGTGACTAAAAACCAAAGAGAAAAAGAATCAAAACTTCAGGAATTGACCTGGTGTCAAGTCTACCTTCTTCAATTCACAGGCAAGAACACTGAGGTCAAAAGAATTTTTTATAGTTAAATAGCTGTGTAGAGGTCAAATTATAATAAAAAGCCATTTTCTAACTCTGAGGTGAGAACTCCTCCTACCTATACATGCATCTTCTTTCCCCATAAGAAAATCAACAGCTATCCAGATTTTGTGCTTCACGTTACACTTTATGATCCATACATTTTATTATAAGTGACACAAAAACTGACCTACTATAAACAAAATTTCAGAACAGGTTCACTTACAACACTCAACAGGTATAGAAGCTGTCTGCAGAGAAAGGACTTTTCCATTTGGCTGAGGGATGTGTACACGAAACACAAGTCGGACTCTAGTATTCTTTCTGCCAATATCAGTTTCTCCTTTTCGAAGTTCTATATCTGAATTGCGGAGTTTCAAAATACCTGCACAATCAATACTAGAGGGAAAAAAAAGAGTTTTATTTACTTACCGATAATAGTTTTAAAGAACTCAGCAAAATAGCTATTTTTAATTTGGCAGGGAAACACTATAATTATCTAAAATTAGGTTTAAAAAGATACATATATATAAAATAATAACTATGGTAGATTGTCTGCAAAGATGGCTGTCAATAATAATTTCTCCTACATTCATGTGCTACTTTTTCCATTAAGTGGCAGACTAACTATGTTCCCTCACTTATGTTTAGAGTACCAATGTCTATCTTGCTTTGAAAAATAGAATGTGGCAAAGTTAACGCTGGGTTAAAAATGAACCTAGCACTTAACTCCAGCAACTTCCGTTTTTTTAGTCTGGAACCACTACAAAGTTCAATTAAAATGCTAGAAATAAATACACAGACTGCAATAACTCTAGCTACTCCAGCCAACTTGGAAGTATTATTTTATTATTTTTTTTCTTTTTGGGTCATACCTGGTGATGCTCAGGGGTTACTCCTGGCTTTGCGCTCAGGAATTACTCCTGGCAGTGCTCTGGGGACCGTATGGGATGCTGGGAATCGAACCCGGGTTGGCCTTGTGCAAGGCAAACGCCCTACCCACTGTACTATCACTCCAGCCGCCCAACTTGGAAGTTTTAATCCTACTGATCTCCCATCTGAATTTAGGTGCATCACTACTACTCAAAGAATAATTCGAAAATAACCAAAAAATGATCAATGGGGTAAGGCATGTAGCTCCAGCGGCAGAGCACTTTCCTTGCATGCATGAGGCCCTGGATTCAATCTCTTGAACTGTCATGGATCACCCCAGAGCACCACCGGAAAGAGCTCTAAGAGCCCTGGCACGGAACTATTAGGCCCACACCACCTGACCAGAGACTACCGGAAGAGGCCTAGGACCCTTTTAGCAATGCTGGGACGGTGGTGGTTGTAGCCAACGTCGTCATCTGACGTCACAGTCATAGTAGTAGTAGGCATTACTTTTTAAATTAAAAACAACATCTTTATTTTGGGGGTTGGGGAGGCCGCATCTGGTAGTCCTGGCTCTGTGCTCAGGAGTGACTGCTGGTAATATTCAGGGGACCATATCCAGTGCTGGGGATCAAAGCAGGTTCAGCAAAATGCAAGGCAAGCACTTTAGTTTCTGTACTATCTTTGTCATCCTCTCTGGCACAAGAGTCATAACTGTTAAGCCACTAAACTCTGGGAGCAGTCTGTTTTACTAGCTGATAGATGAAACTAAATACTTCTCTTCTTTTTTTTCCTTTTTGGGTCACAAAGGAATCCCTGATGATGCTCAGAGGTTACTCCTGGCTTTGTACTCAGGAATTGCTCCTAGAGGTGCTTGGGGGACCATATTGTACGCCAGGGATTGAGCCTAGGTCAGCCGCATGCAAGGCAAATGTCCTATCTACTGTACTAATGCTCCAGCCACAAGGCTAATTCTCTATTTACAATAAAGTAAAAGAAGGTTCACTTGTTGAACTACAAATAAGTAATAGTACTAATAAATGAAATAGACATTTTTGGAATTATTAAGAAAATTCTGTCATGACTGGAAATTAGACATAAACACCTCAACTAAATAAACTCTTAGAAATAATAAATTGGGGGCCAGAGTGACAGTACAGCAGGTAGGGCGTGCCTTGCATGCAGCCTTACAGGGTTTGATCCCCGACATTCCTGCTGGTCTTGCATGCAGCCTTACAGGGTTTGATCCCCGACATCCCCAAATGGTCTCCTGACCCTGCCAGGAATGATCCCTGAGCACTGCCGGGTGTAGCCAAACAAACAAAACAAAACAAAGGGGTGGGGGTAGACTGAAGAAACAATAAAACAACAGAGCAAAAATAGCAGGCTACAAAATCAACACAAAAATCTATTGCTCAGGGGCTGGAGCAATAGCACAGTGGGTAGGGCGTTTGCCTTGCACGCAGCCAACCCAGGTTCGATTCCCAGCATCCCATATGGTCCCCTGAGCACCGCAAAGGGTGATTCCTGAGTGCAGAGCCAGGAGTAACCCCTGTGCATGGCCAGGTGTGACCCAAAAAGCAAAAAAAAAAAAAATCTATTGCTCAGGAGACTATAAGTAGTGCTGGGGATGAAACGGAGGTGAGCTGCATGTAAGACAAGGGTCTTACCCCATTTCTGGCACAGCAATATAAGTTCTGTGCCGCAGACTGGCTGTGTTCACCTGGATATGCTCATTGGCCAGAGAATCTACACAAAACCCTAAGGTCCAGCGCTACTCTAGCTTTCTAAAGTATGTGTAGTAACGCTCTTTTTGGGTCACCCACCATGCACCCACCACAGCTTAACGTGGGCACACCTCCCAATGCCAGCCACCGCTGTAATGAAGAAACGGCATTTGGAAGTCATCCTTCAGATGCTTTGAAGCTTTTTGGATATGCATGTCTTTGGTGGCGAGTGCAGTTTCACAGTGTTCTTAGTCAAACATGAGGATCTGAACCTAGTATTTGTTTTTGGTTTTGGGGCCACACATAGCTGTGCTCATGGCTTACTTCTGGCGATGCAACCATAGATCACTCTTGGCAGTGCTCAGGGATTAAGGGATCAAACCTGGATTGGCGACAAGCAAACCAAGTGTCCTTCCTGCTGTACTATGTCTCCGGGCCCTAAAGATTTGAACTTCTTGATTTGGATGACTGGGATTTTCAAGTGACCATTTTGAGACCACCTAAAAATACATACATATGGAGAGAAAAAGTGATGGCTACTGGCAAAAAAAAAAAAAACAAACTTTATTGGGCTGGAGCCTGAGCAAATAGTACAGTGGCTGCACCTGCCTTCCACATGCAGCCAACCAACGTTTAACCATATGGGCATCCCCCGAGCACTGCCAGGAGTAATTCCTGAACGTAGACTCAGGAGTATACCCTGCCCGGTGTGATCAAAATACAAACAAATTAATTTTTTTAATCTAGAAATCATGAAAAAATTCTATAGAACTTAAAACAAGGTATTCTTAGAAGAGAGCTAATTTTCTAAAAAATACAGAGAATAAGAGTTTCAGAGGAGCTCGAGAGGCAGTACAGAGGGTAGGGCACTTGCCTTGCATGCAGTCATTCTGGATTCAATCCCTGCCCTCCCATATGGTTCCCTGAGCATGGCCAGTGTGCCCCTCTCCCCATGCCCCCCTAAAAAAGTGACAGAAAGGACCAACTTAAAACTGGGTATAAAATGAAGAGAAGGCTTGAAGGGAGGGAAGGAGGAGGAAAGGGGAAGGGAAAGAAAGTAAGTAAAAAGGCTGGAGAGATAGTATAGGGGATAAGGCACTTGCTGTGCATGAGGCCAAGCCCTGGCACTGCATACAGTTCCCAGTCCCCAGACCAGGATGGAAGGAAGGGAGGCTGCGAGGAAATAAACAACTAACACCAGAGGAAAAGAAACACTGGGCTACAGAGAGAGAGAGAGAGAGAGAGAGAGAGAGAGAGAGAGAGAGAGAGAGAGAGAGAGAGAAACATGGGTTTAAGTACATGTGAGGTAACACATGGTCCCTAAACATTGCTCAATGCAGCACTGGAGGCCCCCAGCATCGCTTAGTGTGGCCTGAGTAATCTCTAGAGTGACAGTACAGTGGTAGGGCATTTGCCTAGCACACAGCTGAGCTGGAATCTATCCCTGGCATCCCATATGAACTCTGCCAGAAATGATCTCTAAGCACAGGGCTAGAAGTAAGTCCTGATCATCATTGGGTGGCGCCCAGAAACCAAAATAATAAATAAATATATAAAAACAGTTCTATTTAAAACTAAATCTTTTTTTTTTTTTTTTTGCTTTTTGGGTCACACCTGGCGATGCAAGGGGGTTAATCCTGGCCTTGCACTCAGGAATTACACCTGGCGGTGCTCAGGGGACCATATGGGATGCTGGGAATTGAACCCAGGTTGGCCACGTGCAAGGCAAACGCCCTACCACTGTGCTTTTGCTCCAGACCCTAAAACTCAATCTTTATTTCATTCTTCTGGTTCTTGGATCACCTCAGAGAGTGCTCAGAGGATCATGTGATACCGGGGATTAAACCTGGCTGCCCTCATGCAAATGCTGAACATTTACAAATTAGTTTAGCCCACTGAGCTATCTCTCTGGCCTACAATTATATTTTAGATCACAGGGTGTAATGTCAGATCCATATTCATCTACTTTTTTAAAAAATAGGGAGTGTAGCTCTACACTTACCTGTAGCTTAAATAAAGGACCCATAGCTTATCCAAATTAAATTCCTATAGTCAGGGGAGGGAGGAAATAAACTAATAACACCAAGAGAAAATAAACATATAGGGGGCCAGAGAGAGAGAGGGAGGGAGAAAGAAATGAAAGGAGAGAGAGAGAGAGAGAGAGAGAGAGAGAGAGAGAACATGGGTTTAGGTACATGTGAGGTACTCACATGGTACATTCACAGCTTCATTCAGCACTAGCTGCCCTGTTATTCATGGCAGTTTCTTAACTGCCAGCTCACAGGTTAAAAAAAGGTTAAAAATCACTTATCTAGAATAGATGGAAAAGGCTTCTTACAGTTGTATACCTTTGTAACTGCTTCTTCCTTAATGGTCTCTTGGGGACACTAAATGTTGTCACATGCCTTGGTTCCTATAGGATCGCTACTTCCTAATCTATCACCAAAGTAGAGTGAATGGGCAAAGAATTTTCAGGTATGTGCATGACAGAATGAGGCAAAGGGGTTAGGTACCTATTACTTGTAACAATAGTATTTTTGAGGCTTTGTGCTTTCTGACCAGAACTAGGGAGAAAGTATATATACCAGAGAAGGACCACAAACCGTAATAATCACCTCTGTTCATGGGGAAAGCAGGAGACAAATATATTCCAATCTATTCTGGTTTTTAACAATGATTTGGAGTATTCCCACAGAGAGGATTATTCAAATCTGTGTTGTGTCAGCATCACCTGGTAGGACAGTGGAAATCTCTCTGTCCTGCATTGAATGCAGTGAGGTACTTTGTTGGTGGAGCTAATGTTAATGGTGGAACTATAAGTTAAGAACTTCCTAGGTTCATTAAAAATGCATTTTAAAAACAATCGTTATGTAAATAAATGTTTATTATGTATCAATTTCAAAATTATTTGTTGTGTGAGACTTTCTCGATTCCCTGAAAGTTTCTTAATACTTTAAAAGCTCGTATATTCTTGGGGCTAGAAAGACTATAGCACAATGGTTAAGACACTTGCCTCACATGCATCCAACCCGGGTTCAACCCATATGGTCCTCTGAGTCCCTCCGGGAGTGATTCCTGAGCGCAGGGTCAGCGGTAAGTCCTGAGCATAGCTGGGTGTGACATGAGCACCATACCTCCACCCACAACACCCCCCGCCCCACTCCCAGCAAAAAAAAATCATGTATTCGTTTTTGTTGCTGTTTTTTCAGCCTTCCTAGTGGTGCTAAGGGGACCATGTTCGGTGTTCGGTCTCTTACCAGGGCAAGCACCTTACCACCTGTACACCTCTACAGAACACAATTCATTAATTCTTTTTAATTTATTGGTACAGTTATTATTTTGCCAGTTATTATTTCTGGCAAACTCCCCGTTGCGTACCCAATATGCCAAATACCAGTAACAATGATGGGTCTCAATCTCCTAAAGAGCCTTTAATATAATCTCAGGGCTAGGATGAAGGAGACATTACTGGGGCCTGCTCGAGGCAATCGACGAATAACAGGATGATTTGTGATTTTGTGATTATTTTGAGAAAGGATATGAGGTATTTTATAATACAAAATAAAGTCAAGAAAAAAATTGTAAATAAAAAGAACAGAAAATATATTGCAAACTGATGGTTATATAAATTACTATAATTACCAATTATGACTTTTACCAGAAACGTCAAAGCTAAAAGTAAATATGATGACGTCTCTCCTTGTCTGGTAAAGCAGTCTACCATATCATTAGGAAATACTGACCATTTGAACAAAGCAAGTAAAAATAAGCCACTGCACTTCAGGTTTCTATTACAACCAACTATATATAATCCTGAAACTCAACCTGAACAAAATTCTATTACCTTCTCATTTAGAAAATTACCACCTCATCTTATTTATAAGTGGAACAAACAGGACACCTGAAGGAAGAGTCAGTTTCCCTTAAGGAATCAAAATTGCACCGCTACAATTTATTTATTGTCTACCATATCAGACTTTGAACTACACAAAAAGTCCACCTATTTCCCCCTCTTCATTTCCTTTTGTCACCGTTGCTGCAAAGACCAGGGGTAGCAACGCTTGGTTGTGTTCATCTACTTTTGAGTTTGGTGCCTAGGGAACACACACTTGAATGCAGTGCCTAAAGTCACATATTAATTGTGGTACTCTAGCACACTTGGCTGTGGGGGACCAGAGAGAAGACACTTTGTGTGGATCCCAAAGAGAAGAACTGCTGGAATTGTATCTGCAGTATGTAGGATAGTGACAGGGATTGAACTCCCGATGATATTGGCCTCATGTTTACAAGGGAGGCTCTCTAATGTTGGACCATCCTCAGACTCTGAAAAAGTTCCTATGTTTTCATTTTTATCATCAAACTTGGTGCTTATCGGATACTACATGATGTACAATTTTTTGCTGAATTTAGTCTTCTTTCTGTAAATTTGCGATCAACCTTAGCAAACATGCTACAAATCCAACATTATTGTTTAGATAATGTTATTCAATTTAGAAGAATGAGCACTTTATTTCTGGACTGTAGCACTGTCCTCCCGTTGTTCATCGATTTGCTCAAGCGGGCACCAGTAACGTCTCCATTGTGAGACTTGTTACTGTTTTTGGCATATCAAATAGGCCACGGGAGCTTGCCAGGCTCTGCCATGATTTCTGGACTAGAAACAGAAATATGTTTTCCCCAAAAGCTGTCTTAGGAAAAGAAAGAAGTGTTTTGACTGAACTATTTTTCAATCTACCTGGCTGACATGTTGTTTTCTGGAAGAAGTGGAATTTCCAAAACTTTTGTGCTGGCAATTATTATCTCTTGGCTCGCTGTAGCAACAGTCTTCCCTGTGATTCGATGAACCTGGTAAAATGCATGAGGCCGTAAATATCGATCATCTGCTGTTCCAATAAACATCTGTAGACTTATTGGCTTTTCACTATAGCCCAGGAGCTAAGCAGGAAAAAGAAACAAACAAAAAAGTATAATTAATAGTAAGTATTTCACAATTAGCTGAGAACACTAAGTCTATCATATCTGTAACAGACATTATTGACACATACAATGTTATTTAAAAAAAGATAATTGGAAAAAAAACAGCAAATAGCCTCTTCTATTTCAGAAGTTTCGAGTTTTAAAGTTCTGGAATATGGGGTCAGGAGACAAAGTACAGTGGGGAGGGTTCTTGCTCTACATGCAACTGACCCAGGTTTGATTCCTGGCACCCAGTATATGGTCTGAACACTGTCAGCAGTGATGCCTAAGAACAGAACCAGGAGTAAGCGCTGAGCCTTACTGGGTGGAACCTCAAGTCCCCCATATCCTTGCAAGCACAAACACACACACACACACACACACACTCTCTCTCTCACACTCTCTCTCTCTCTCTCTCTCACACACACACACACACACACACACACACACACACACACACACACACACACTCGCCCACCCATCCTCTGGAATATGTTACAAAAGGAAGAGGGTATTTTTTCTTTTTTTTTTTGATAAATTTTCTTATTAACAGAATTTTGCAAAACCTTTTTAGAGTTCTGTGAAGACCTGAATGTGTAGAAAGATCATCTAATAAACTGTTAAAATCAAACATTTTGTTTTAGTGGGAAGTCTGAAAAAGCCTGAATCACAGGTTACCAACACAATTTCTTTTTCAGCTTAAAAACTGTTTGTTTGAGGCCACACCCAGCAGGACTTACTCCTGACTTTATACTTGGGGATCACTCCTGGCAGGGGTGGGGGACCATACGAGGTGCCAAGGATCCAAAGCCGGGTTTGGTTGTATGCAAGTCAAGCAACTTATCCTCTGTTCTACCTCTACAGCTTCTTAATTTTTTTTTAAGTAACTGCACCCAACTGCTAACAAAGTGCCAGTGACACCCCACCCCACCCCCACCCCCGACCCTACTCACACATATAATGTCCTCATGTGTCCTTGTGGTGCTCAAGGGTTACTCCTTATGGTGCCTTGAGGAACAATACACAGCACCAGGTCTGCCACACATAAGGCAAGCACCTTAACTCCTGTACGTCTCTCCAGCCCGTCTCTTAGTATCATACTTAACCACTGCCAAATCACAGTTCTTGAAGCAGGTCTGCCTTTTCCTAAAGTGCTAGTTTGATTCAGGACTGCTTCATCTTCAAAGACTCTGAGAATGCAAGGCATCTGAGCACTGGTTAGATATGGAGATCTATGCTTATGCTCTAAAATCTACAGTTATGCTTCATAACCAAGACTCTAGTCCTTGAAAGCAGAATTTTTTTTCGGGGGATGGGGCTTTGGGCCATACCCAATAACACTGAGGGGCTCTGTACTCGGAAGTTGCCTATGGCAATGCTCAGGGACCACGAGGTTTCTGAGATCTACCCAGCGTCAGCTGCATGCAAAGTCAGTGCGTTAACTCCAGTACTATTTCTGGCTCTGAAGAATTTTCAGACCTGCCATCAAGATGTTTGATTTTTTTGTTGTTGTTAATGGGGAGTCTTTTGCTCTTGTCCTGGCCCTGAGTTCTGAGCCCCAAGCCCTTCTCTCAGCAGCTCTGTTGCCCAATTCTGGTTTCCCTGAAAATGCCATGGAGGAATTTATTTCAATCTCTTGATACAACTCTAGTCTTTAATTAATGAAAGTCTAGAGTATCTCAGAGTATTTCTGTCCCTATAACAATTAAGTACGAAGAGAGGAAGTTTCCCAACTCTTTCTAAATACTCTACTTTGGGATTGTGGCTTCTCTGCACTTGGTGGGGTACCTTAAAGTTTTGGAGATAGCTTCTTCAGTAATAACCATGCATACTTGACTACAGGTGTCTCTGGGGGAAAATTTTTTATTGTGGCTTTCTAACCCATTAAATGCCAAAGGATCACTGTGACAAAAGAGGTTGCTTAAAGCCCATTTTTGAGTAGCATAGTGGAGGATTTCTGGCACTTAAAAGAAGCTGTGGTAGTGAATCACAGTGCTAGTGATATTTTCATAGAGCAATGCTGGGTGGAGTAGGTAGGTATGTGCCTTTCAAATCTGAGATATTATGAGCTATCCAATAATATGCAAATTTTTTCTCTACTGTTTTAAAGTATCAAGATACATGATACTGAATACAGGCTACATAAGTGTTTGGCAAGCAATTAGTGATACATGTGTTAGCTAATAGTCTGCATTCATGAGTTCAAATATAAGACCTAATCAGGGAAATTTTAAAAAACATCTTGCAGGGTAGGAGTGGGAGGGAAACTGGGGACAGTGGTGGTGGGAAATGCACACTGGTGAAGGGACAGGTGTTAGATAGAACATTATATGACTGAAACCCAGTCATGAACAATTTTTTAACTATCTCACTGTGATTCAATTAAAAAATAAAAAAAATTAAACAACAAAAAAATAACCTTTTAAAGGGCCAGAGTGATAGTACAGTGGGTAGGGCATTTGCTTTGCATGTAGCCAACTGGGTTTGGTCCCTGGCACCCTTTGTGGTCCACGGATCACTTAGGAGTTATCCCTAAGCCAGGAGGAAGCCCTGAGCACTTCAGGGTATAGCCCCAAACAAAACAACTCTCAAATATATAAAAGGATTGTTATTTCTTCGGGTGAATGCTTTATTCCTCCTCTCCACTGCTTGTCCATCCCTGTGTAGAGGAATTTGTAATCTAACAACATCAAATTTTACTAATTAACCTCCTCTCCCAAGGAAAGGACATGAAGACTTTGTCTATTACCAATAACACAATTTAGGTTATTTTTCTGTCCTGTAATATTTATCGAGGAGCAGTAGTGGTGGAATTCTGGCACCAAGGGTAGCACTAGCAAATAAAGGAGGTATTAGGGCCTACAGAGACAGTATAGTAGGTAAGATGTTTGCCTTATAAGTGGCCAACCCAAGTTTGACCCCTACCTCTATCAGAAGCTCTATCTACCTGAGGACTGAGCCAGGAGTAAGACCTGAGAACCACTGGATGTGGCCCAAAAAAGAAAGAAAAAAAAACGTTAGAGGATTAGAGGTGTGGACCAAGTTGCAGAGGTCATGAGTGAATACTAGGATTGATACCAGCATAGCATAATCCACTTTGAACAGTCCCTGCAAAAAACTGACAAAATCAAACCAAACCTAACCCTTTTGAAGTCACTGATTTTGAACAGGTAATGTAATTTTACAAATTATTTTTGGGGCCACACCAACAATGCTCAGGGTTACTCCTGGCTCCGCACTAAGGACTTATTTCTGAGGGTGCTTGAGATGTGGGGATTGAACCTGGGTTAGCTGCACGCAAGACAAACATTCTATCTGCTCTACTATCTTTCCAGCCCCTTAAAAATTCTTTTAAAATTCCCTCCACCCTTGATTATTTATTGTTGTTAATGTTGTGATAACTGGAGGCTGTACAAATGCCCAGTTGTGGTGCTCACACATCTATCTGGTTGTGATGTTCCCCAGGGTTTGCAATCCCATCTTTTTTAGCAATACCACAGATTGTACTCAAGGCCTCATACATGCAAGGTATCTGCTCTACTACGAAGCTGCATGTCTGACCCTTCACACCCTTTTTGTGTGGTGCTTGCACCTGGTCATGGTTCAGCTGGGTTCTTGTGTTCCTTACTGATTCTCTCCAATCAGCTTAAGTTACATCTGTCTAATGGCTAACAAAGGTAAGTAAACATATGTGCTTAATCTATATTTAACTAGAAGTGGTTTGTAAATGTTTTAATATTTATAGTCAAGAAATCTACAGTATGTTCAGATGTGAAATCTTTTTTAAATGTTTGGTTTAAATAATTCAGTAAATTTCAAGATGTTAATAGCAAAGATTCTATTTTTAAAATACCAACATGATCACAATAAAAAACTAATGGGCTGGAGAGAGAGCACACCAGGTAAGGCATTTGTTGTGCAAGTAGCAGATCCTGATTCAAGCCCAGGCACCACCTCTGGTCCCCACAAGCTCTGCCAGTAGTAACCCCTGAGCACAGGGCCAGGAGTAAGCCCTGAGCAAAGCGGGGTGCGGCCCAACAACACAAAACATAAATAAAACTTAAATAAATCAGTGAAGTATAAAATGTGCACACAAATGAAATTTAGTCATTTTCCTCTTATGTTATGTGGAGAAACATAGTGTAAATGGTAACATCAAGTGCAATTCACCCACATTTGCACACAGTTGAAAAAGCAGAGACAGGAGTGCCATATTTGTTCTTCTTTTTATTAAGAGGGTGTGGGAGAGGGCACACCCATGCTAATCAGGACTTATTCCTGGCTCTGTACTCAGGAAACACTCCTGGTGGGAATATATTACTACAATGGCAAGAACTGAGTCAAATGTATATAAAACATTCGAAGGAAAATAAACAGGGCTTCTGCTCCACACAGCAGGGATTTGAAAGAACATCAAATATCATCCCACCCCATTTCCACAGGAGCATTAAGTTGTAGGCAGTAAACAAATGACTATTATTACTATTCTCTAAAATTTTTCACCTATAAGCAATAAACTGCTCTTCAGGTTACCTTCTGTTTCATGTATGTGTTTCTATCAATAGCATGACCCCAAGATCCCATACCTTTACAACAGGATGTCCCCCAGTTGACGCTTTTACAGCTCCTCGGCTACCCTCGGTTTCATAATGCGCTCGATGATGAGTTTTAGGCTGCACTTCTATTTTCAACTCATATTGTCCAAAGTGAGTTGGTAAAGGCCAGTCTAGTGGAGGTAACGAAGATGTGCTATAAATAAAATACACAAGGAAATATTTACTTCATCATGATACCATTCATAAACAGTGATAAAAATCAACAACTTTCTTCTGATAACCATGAAGAAGTTTTCTGAAATAAAAATGCACTTAGCAAATTGTGATATTGGATATGGTGGGCAATTCTTAACTAGAATTTTGTTTTATTTTGTAGGGGCTCACAACTAGTGAGGCTCAAGAGTTACTCCTGGTTCTGTTCTCAGGAATTACCCCAGTGGCGCTCAGAAGTCTAAGGAATGCAGGGGATTGAACCCAGGTAGGTTAATGCCCTACCCGCTGTACTCTATCTCCAGACCCAGAATTGCTTTTAATCTACCTTTTGGCTCTCTATTCTTTTCTTAAAACTTGCAAACTAGTGCCAGAGAGATATTATAGCAGTGCTTTGCACACAGCCTATCTGGGATTGATGCCGGCATCCAATATGGCCCCCAACCATTACCAGTAGAGATCCCTGAGCAAAGAGCCAGGAGTAAGCACTGTTGAGTGTGTTCCTTGCCCCCTCCCATATTTATTTATTTTTTTGTGTGGGGCTGGAGTGTGGCTCAGTGATCCAATTCCTGCTTTACATATGTGAAGTCTTACATTCGATCGATCCCCAGCACTGCCAAACACTATCTAAAAAAAAAAAAATGAGGGGGTGGTGAAAATCACATCTACACTGTAATTTTATACCAGAACAAACAAGTGTGAGAGAAAAATAAAAAATTGAAAGTCTAGGGTTTAGGAGCTAGCTCAAAGGACTGGAGCACATGTGAGAGGCCTAGGTTCAATCCTGGACACGACACGGCCCCCAAGCACTCAAGTACCCCCAGAACAATGAGCAGGGAGTAGGCCCCCAGCACTCTTAACCCCCAAAAAGCAAGTCTTTGTTTATGTGTACCAGTCTCCAAATCAATCTACACATTTGTCTCAGTAAAAATCCCCTCCTTGGTGTGTATCTCTGTTAATTAAGTCAGCCAAACACACATGTTGCTTTCCCCATGTTCTCCCTATTGTTCTTTCCTATCTTTCTAAAATATTGTTTATATTCAACAAAATAGTTCAATTTGAAGTAAAATTTTATTATCAGTACAAACACTGCTGACAAATCTGATGGCCAACTACAACATCTGTCAATTTTAGAGATACTATCAACTGATCGATAATTTAAATAGTAATTAGTTTAGGGGCCAGCTAAAGGGTAGAGCATTTGCCCTGGATGTATGAAGCCCCAGATTTACAACCTCTCTCTCTGTCCGTGTCTGTGTCTGTCTCTCTCTCTCTCTCCCCCCCCCCCCCCGTCTTCCTCTCTCCCTCCCCCTCCTCTCTCTCACACACACACTCTCTCTCTCACTCTAATTTAAATAGTTTAAATCAGTCTTTCTCAGTTGGGGCGAATGACCCCGGTGGACTCAACACTCCAAGTGGGCCAAGGGTGAAAACTGCATAAATGTGCTGTTACATCATCAGATTAGGGGGAGCAGCAGCTACAGGTCCACAGGAAGAAAGAGAAGTCAGAAGGGGACCATGGTCAGAAAAAGGTTGAGAAAACACTGGTTTAAAGGGCCTTAGGTTCTTTAGATATATTAAATTGCAAATATAGGCATAAATAAAAAGAACAACTTGGGACCAGATAGATAGTTCAAAGGGCTAGAATGCATGCATGGCACGTGGACATTCTGGGCTCAATTCTCAGCACTACACAGTTTCCTGAGCACTGCCAGAAGTCATCACAGAACTATAAGTAGCCCCCAAGAACCAGCAGGTGTGGCCCAAAATACAAAAACAAAATAAAAACAAAAATAATTTACATGTCTCCTGAGCAAATCTGAATGGAACCGAAGCCAGAATGATGTATGAAAAAGTAGTATTTTATGAGAACTTTGTAAAACAGGGCTTTTCAGGGCTTTTCACCTCCAAGATGCTATCATTCCTACTGTAAACTTCATTGCCTCCGGAATGTCTTCAGCCTAGTTTTACTTGCCATTATAAAACCGAAAGGTATTAATTTTTATTAGTCTGAAACAATTTAATCTTGTTAACTCTCAACCTGCTTCAATACTTGGTCTGCAGACTTTGAAAATCCCTAAAAAGATTAAGATTATCAGAATCTAGAAATACTCATAGCAATAAAAAAGCAGAAAAAAAAAAAGTAAACAGGATCTCTAGCAAAAGATGGGTGGAAAAAAAGAAGGTAAATCCATTTTACTCCATGTGGAGATTTAATAAATTATAAAGTTGTCTGTTTTGGGGCTGGATATAGAGTACAGGTATTAAGGTGCGTGCCTTCGAGCCAGAGCGATAGTACAGCAGTTAGGGTGCTTGCCTTGCATGCGGCCAATCCGGGTTCGGTCCCTGGCACCTCATATGGTCCTGGAGCCTGGCCAGGAGGAGTGGTTTCTGACACTGGTGATGGGATTGATGTTGGAAAATTGTACAAATGGAATTTGATCATGAGTTACTGTAAAACTGGGTGCTATGAATAACTCTGTAAATTATGGCACCTCAATAAAAAATATTTTAAAAATAAATAATGTGCATGCCTTGTAAGCAGCTGACCTTGAGCATCACCAGATATAACCATGGAAGACACTGAGCATTGCTTACTGTGGGTCCTGAGGGCCCCAAACATATCAGGGTAGCCCAGGTATCCACAGCACCACAGAGTCAAACAGCAATGCATCTGTGTGCCCTTTAATTGAGTCACTGCTTTGGTTGACCAAGAAATGCCAGGTTTCCCATGGAAGGTTCTCTCAATCAAGAAGCCTGTTCTTGGGCTGCAGAGATAACTAAGTACTTGCTTAGCAAAGAGGCACAGGTTTGATTATTTGGTACCAAATGGTCTCCTAAGCGTGCCTAGGATAACCCTGAGCAGAGCCAGGAAATCACCCCTGAGGATTATATGGAGTGGGCCAACCCCCACCCAAAAAACCAATAGTATTAGTTCTTATGAGATATATACAAATTGATCTTGAAAGTGGTATTGTGATAACTTACAAGTCATTTTGGAAAAAGAACTGTTACACTGTTTTTATAGGATTTTTTTGTTTTTGTAGCAGTATTTAGAACTTACTCTTGGCTCTGTGCTCAGGGATCATTCCTGGCAGTGCTCAGGACACTAACCCTATGTGGTATTTGGGACTGATCTTGGGTTGGCCACATGCAAGGTAAGTGTCTTACCCGCTATGTTATCCCTTCAGTCTATTACATTGTTCTTTATTCCAGAATTTAACTGAACTTGTGATCCAAATGCATATGTATATTATATAAAGAGAAAAATATGTGCATATATTTTGTGTACACATGACATAAAAATTCATAATCTTAAGCTCTTCAAGTTCTTGTTTTCCCTTCAACACATATCTCACTTGTCTCTGGTTCTTTGCTTTTCCACTCTGGAGAAGCCAAGTTCTCTCTCCTTTTTTTTTGCTTTTCGGGTCACACGCAATGATGCACAGGGGTTACTTCTGGCACTGTACTGAGGAATTACTCCTGGAGGTGCTGGGGGACTATGTGGGATGCTGGGAATCGAACCCGGGTTGGCCGTGTGCAAGGCAAACGCCCTACCCGCTGTGCTATCGCTTCAGCCCACTAAAGTTTCCTCTTGAACACATACTTCCTCTCCCCACACATCTTTCTAAGTAAGTTTAAATTAAAACTACCTTGCTTTACTTAGAAAAAAAGTATAGCCCCTGCCCCCGGGATGAGGGTTCCAGGACTAAATCTCCAGGCCACATAGCGGCAGGGGACCAGGGCTGTCCCTACCTGCGTCCCGCCCACCCAGTAGACTGGCTGTTCGGCCCACAATTTGCTTCAGGGTGCCATCTTAGCGTACCAACAGCCCTGGCCCAGAGACTCCCAGTTGAACCCCAAAATGGATTAGTGCCAAACAGAGAGGTCTTGGAACCCAACCATTTACAATCTAGAAATTTACATTTACATTGATGGCCATGCAAGCTCTCATGATATTCAAAATGAGCAATGGAAAATAAGTTATCCAGCATCTGCCCCTGGCAGGTAGGCTTGAATGGTGGTGGGACTTTTCGAGCAAAACATAATGCCCAAAATTAGAGAGATGGTATTGGGGATATTGTCTGCATAGAGGTAGGGTGAAGACTGGGATGTGGGTGGTGGAAAATGTACACTGGTGGAGGGATGGGTGTTCCATCATTGTATGGCTCAATCTCAAACATGAAAGCTTCGTAATTCTATCTCACAGTGATATATTTAAAAAAAAAAAGTAATGTGGAGTTCATGCCCAATTCAATCAGCTTAATCAATGGCTGAACAATAGCAGTATTCCTACATTATTAAAAAAAGGGTATATACACATACACAAATTATATATAAATTATATATATATACATACACACTTTATTACAAACATGAAGTTTACATTTTTATACTTTTTTTTCAAATATAAAAGAATAATCCAAAAGTCCTGGAGCCAGAGCGATAGTACAGCAGGTAAGACATTTGCCTTAGCCCACGGCTGACAGTTTGATCCCTGCCATTCCTGAGCCTGCCGGGATTAATCCCTGAGTGCAGAGTAAGCCCTGAGCACCAGGCGTGACCCCAAAACAAACAAACAAACAAAAAATCCAAAAGACATAAAGAAAAGCACACTTACATAAATAAAAATTCCTCTCATATATAAAATCACAAACTTATAAAAGCAAAAGACAAAAAAACCCCTTTAAATTACTATATATATGAAATTTTTCATTTGTGTACTAAGCTCATACTATATAATGTCTGTTATTCCCTAGCAAATTTATTAGCAACTTAATTCATACTATGATTAGGTTAGGGTTTTTTTGTATTTTTTTTTTATAAGAAAATTCCCTTTAAGGCTAAACTGGCTAGGGCATATGCTGTACCTACAACAACGTACAGCAGTCCCAGAGCAACACCAGGTGTAAAACACCCAAAAGAAAAAAAAATTCCCTTAAGGAGTTCTTGAAAGTAACTTATTAAATTTATTCTACATAAATAAATTTTGCCTATCTAAAAAAAGTTTCAAGACGCAAAGGAAATTAAATACTTATTAATTCAACTGGCAGAAAAGAAGAAGAAAAAGGAAAAATGGTCAAACCATTCTAAGGAATTTACTAACAAAAATCCACAGCATAAAACTGGCCAGGAGCCATTTCTGTCAACTCACCGAAATATAGGGGTGTGACCAGGCTTTGGTTTGCTCCAGGTAAAGGGTGAAGGAACTGAAAGAAATTGGTCACCGGATGAATCTTTCTTTAAAGGATACTGAGATCCAAGGCCATCATCTACTGAAGTTTCCCGGGATGGTGATAAACTCCCTTGGTCATCTGAACACAGCTCTAATTTTCCTGGTAGTATGGCAGCTTGATCTTCAGATGTCTTCCTGGTCTTCAGAGGGATATCAGTGTCTACATAGTACTGAAATGAAATAAGTGTAGGGCCAAGGCCCGATCCACCCTGGACAGACGCATTGAGCCAGGTATCTTCTGTTACACTACCCCTAGGGGAGTGACCAGGAGAAGGAACAGGTGAGTGATGGGGTGAAAGGGATCCAGCATAACAAACCTCAGCACTAGAATGCCGCCGTTTCCCACAGGGGGAAGTGGGCCTCGAAGATGGTCCTGAGGCTGGCCTGGGACTCAGCCAATTCTCATCAGTGATGCTAGATCTAGGAGAGTGGCAAGGAGACTGCCTGGGTGACAGGGAGTGTCCAAGTCCATACTGCTGATGCCAGGAATCTTCTCCAGGGCAGCCCCCAGGAGAGCCACCAGGAGAAGTCAGAGGGGATCCAAGAGTAAATCGGGCAGCTGCTTCATTCAACTCTGAATCCACATCATCATAAATATGTGAAAGAGATTCACAAGAAGATGCATCTGAGAACCAGCTCCTAGAAGAGATGCTGCTGGCAGGACTAGGACTAAGGGAAGACTCCCGGTAGGTTGGCTCAAGAGGAAGATAGAGGTGATCTCTAGAAGGCCTTTCCAAGTATTCCCTTTCTGGATCATTTATGTGGAGATCATCTTCATGAGCATCTATTTCTTGATGACAGTTAGGAGAGATGGATGTGATTTGAATACTTGGGCATTCAAAGGGCTTTGAGCCACCTAATGGACTGTACTTAGATTCAGGAATCTCACATGTTCCTTCATAGTTTTTGTGACCTTGAAGCTGAAACGATGGTGACAAAACAGAAGAGTGAGACGGTAATCCATGATGTGGTAAGCAAAGTGGTGAGTGTAAAGTAGATGGAGGTGGATCTACATTTAAGATGTAAATGGATGTACGATCAGCAGGCTCAAGATCTATGGAGGGGAAAGCAAAAACAAAAAACAAACAAAAAAGAACAAAATAAGAAAATTTAGATGTATAAAATACTAAATGAGAAATCAAATTACAATAATTGAGAAAAAAATAAAAATGTTTATCACAGCTTTACTAAAAAGCTTTTTTTAAAATTGTATTTGGTTATTTCTGCAGATATTCAAAATTACTACATATTTGTACACACAATTATATATACTTTTCCTTTATTTTTATATTTCTAAAGTGAAAATATTTTTTAAAAACCTAGTAAATTTATAAGTTCAATTATATCCATAATTCTGAAAAACACTCACAGAACTATTTAGAATGATACAGTCAAATAAATTCAGACTCATCTGGGAGTCTACAAGCTAAATGTAATAAAGGAAAAGTATTTGAAAGGTTACTACTAAGTTTATACATACACTAAGTTTATTAATATAAAGGACTATAGACTCAAACTCAGCACACCTAGTCTAGTCTCTTCTACCATTAACTAGAAAACCCTTAGGTCAAACTATTTAACCTCTCCAAGGCTTCAATTTCCCTTCAGTAAAATTCAGAAATTTGGAAAAATTTTTTTGGTTAACTGTAACAGTTTTCCCCTCCATAATCATGCCATAAAAATTTTCTATCTTTGGTCATAGCAGAACAAGTTACAGAACTCACATGATCCCACTAGGTACTTCACCTCAACTGAAAATTAGAGCCCCAGCATCTCATATGGTCTCTCGAGCAGGCCACGAGTAATTCTTGAGTGCAAAGGGAGGAATAACATTGAGCATCGCCAGTTGTGACCCAAAAAGCCAAAACATAAAATAAAAATAAAAAGAACTTTCTTTTCACTTTTGGGCCATACCTGACAATATCCACGAACTACTTCTGTCTGGGCTGGTGCTCAGGGAAACCAAGATGTTTTGGGGACCAAACCCAGGTCTTCAATAAGCAATGCATGAGCTCCAGCTCTTTCAGCCATCTCTCCAGACCAAGACTGGAAATTTTAAAATATGCCCCTTGCTGGAGTATTTAGTATTGGACAAGTTCTGCGAATTAATTATTTGCAGAGAACGTTTTCAGCAATTAGCATGTTTGGCAGCTCTGCTTTTGGAAAGATTACAATCCATTTTTACAGAGATAAAACAACTACCAGTTCAAGGGGCTGCTAAAAACCTTCACTTTTCCAAGACATTACTGAGATGAGCAGAGACGTGGCTCAAGTGGTAAAGCATAACCCCTGCTTACAGAAAGTTCTAGGTTTGATCTGATACCACAAGACACCTGAACACCTCCTGACATCTGACACCTGGGAGCCCTCAAGTACTACTCAGTGCACCACCAGTAACATCCTCAAACAATAATGAAAAGAAACAAGTGAGAAGTGAAAAAATTGTCCATGGTAGAAGAAAAAGAACGAACCTTCATCGAGACCATGCTACTTCAATATATTTGTACCCCTAGAAAATAACATACATTTTCAGACACCTGGTACTGCTTTTAGCCAATATCCTGGAATTTAACTGTTTATAGCTTAAATTTTGAAAGCTTTAAGATGTTCTGTAGTTGGTGACCACATCCACTAGTTTTTCCATGCACTGGGCCAGTGAAACAGCAGAACTAGTTGGAATGCATGCTTTGCATGCAGATCCCTGGGTTTTAGTCCCCAGCACCACATGGACTTCTAAAGCCGCAGTGGCCCCAGCACTGCTGGGAAATAGCAATCAAAAAAGTTTTACATGCACCAGAACGAAACCCATTTGTTTAAACACTGTTTCCACCATTCCATCACTGCACAAAATAGGGCAAGTTTTTTTAAATTTATGGGACTGGAGCAATGGAATAGCAAATAGGGTGCCTGCTCTTCACACGGCTGTCTTGGATTCAATCCCCTGAGCCCTGACAGGAGTGCTCCCTGATTGAAGAGCTAGGATTAAGCCCTGAGCATTGCTGAGTGTGCGCCCCCACCCCAAAAAAAGTTTTTAATTTACACAAACCTCAATTTTCTGAGGCAATATTTTAAAAACTGGCGAGGAACAACAAATATAAAGGACTATTTTAAGACAAGCAACCTAACACAATGACCAATATTTAACAAGAACTCAACACAGGTGAATTACTTTTTCTTTCCCATTTTAAAATTTTATGTAGATTTATGGCATACTTAAACTTTTTTTTAAACTTTTGGCCCACACCTGGTGGTGGTTAGGGATTACTCCTGGTATTATTCGTGGGACCATGTGGGGTGCCAGGGAGTCAAACCTAGGTCAGTCGTGTGCAGGACAAGTGCCTTACCTTACCTACTGCATTCTTGCTGACCTTTGACATACTTTTAAAAAACAAACAACTCAGAGACAGGGACTGGAAAAATGGTACTGGGGGTGTGGGGGACAATGGGAAAGCACTTGCCCTGTACACAGCTGACCCATTTCAATTCCTGGCACTACATATCATCTCCTGAATACCACCAGGAGTGACCTCTGAGCAGAGCCAGGAATAGTCCCTGGCTACTACAGGGTATGGCCCCAACAAATGCCCTCGTATCAAATCAGTTTCTTTTTATATTCTTAGTTTGCATTTTGAGGATGTTAACTTAGTGCTATTCACTTTTCACCCATGTACAGGTATTTTATCCTAAAATCAGAAGTAAAGTAAACATTTAAAAAACTTTTTTTAAATTGGTTTACAATGTTAATGTTTATGCCTTTGGAGTACAAAGTTAGTGCACCAGCACTAGAGTGGCAAAAACCTTCCACCTCTGTCCATAGGTCCTTTCTGGTCAGTCCATCCAGTCTCCTTTCCCCACCCCAGCTTGGTAGCCTGTTTTGTTGTTGAGCCCAAGGATTTGTTTTCACTTGATACTCTCCAATCACTTGTTGTTTTTTTTTCATATATACTATATAAGTGAAATCATCCAACAATTATCCTTCTCCCTGACTTATTTAGCTTAACATGACACCCCACTAACCAAGTTGCAGTAAAAGCAAATTCATCTTTTCTTATAGCTGAGTAGTAACCCACTGTGTATACCACGATTTCTTTATCCACCCATTATTGCTGGACATTTGGTTTGACTATCATAAACAGCACTGCAATGAACACGAGTGTGCATTTATTTTTTCAAATTAATGTTTTGTGTCTTGGGGTAAATGGTGAGAAGTGGAACTGCTGGGTCATAAAGTTCATTTTTAGAACCGCACAACTAGTAAACAGATTCACCATCAATGAATGAAGGTTCCTTTTCACAACATTCCTATCAGCACTGCTTATGTTTCTGGACGTCTTCATATAGGCCATTCTCACTGGTATGAGGTGATACCTTATTGTCATTTTGACTAATATTTCTCTGATAATCACGGTCACGGTCCTCCCGTTGTTCATCGATTTGCTCGAGCGGGCCCAGTAACATCTCCATCGTGAGACTTGTTGTTACTGTGTTTGGCATATCGAGTACGTCACGGGTAGCTTGCCAGGCTTTGCCATGCGGGCGAGATACTCTCAGTAGCTTGCCGGGCTCTCCAAGAGGGGTGGAGGAATCGAATCTCTGATAATCAGTGATGATATTTTTTTTTGGGGGGGGGGGCGGAGGTGGACCTCCCAAGGGAGGAAGTGGAAAAGTGGAAGCATAAAGAAAGCTTGTGGGTTGTTTGCTTTCTGGGTCACACCCGGCAATGTACAGGCTTGCTCCAGCCCCAAGAAAGTTTTTTAAAAAGCTTTCTTAAGTTTTTTTTATCTCTTGTATATCAGATGCAAAGTCATAATGATTATTTTCCAGACAAACACACAAAATGCCGGCTATAATTGATCAGTTGTCAAGTTCACTGGCAGGTATTAACAAAAGTTGGCAGTTGAGTACATATATATTGACTGGAAGTACACAGCATGCGTGGAAATATGTATCTGCAGTTACTTGTTTATAACTCAGTAAGCAGTAAGCAACAGTGTAAGTGCAGGACTATCTGCACTGTCCTCCTGTTGTTCATCGATTTGCTCGAGCAGGCCCAGTAACGTCTCCATTGTGAGACTTGTTGTACTGTGTTTGGCATATCGAATACATCATGGGTAGCTTGCCCAGGCTCTCCAAGTGGGGTGGAGGAATCGAACCCGAGTAGGCCGGGTCTGCCTCGGGCAAGGCAAACGCCCTACCTGCTGTGCTTTTGCTCAGAAGGAATTTAAAATTGGGGGCAGGAGGAGGTCAGAGAGATAGTACAGCAGGTAAGGAACTTGTCTTGCACATAGCCAAGCTGGGGTTGATCCCCAGCACCATACATTTGGTGCCCTGAGGATTGGAGGATTGCTAGGAGTGATTCCTGAGCATAGAGCCAGAGGTAAATCCCAAGCACTCTCTGGTGAGGCCCAAAAAAACAAACCAAAAAAAAGTTAAAAAGTTTGGTTTTGGGGACTGAGAGATAATACAGTGGTTAGGGGCCACTTTTCTAGTTATATAAATTGTTTTAGTTCTAAATAATATTATGATAAATGGGCCGGAGCGATAGCGTATTGGTAGGGCGTTTGCCTTGCAAGTGGCCAACCTGGGTTCAATTCCTCCGCCCCTCTCAGAGAGCCTGGCAAACTACCCGGAGTATTCAGTCCACACGGCAAAGCTTGGCGAGCTACCTGTGGCGTATTCGATATGCCAAAAACAGTAACAAGTCTCACAATAGAAACGTTACTGGTGCCCTCTTGATGAACAACAGAAGGACAGTGCTACAGTGTAGTGCTATTATAATACACACATAAATTTTATTCTTTTAAAGAAAGCATAACTGAACCTAAGGAAAAATATATATGGTCAGAGAGATAGTACGGGGAATAGGAGCTCACCTTGCATGCAGCAGACTCCAGTTCAATCCCCCGTATGCCTGGATGTCCCCTGAGCACCTCCAGGAACATCCCCAAGTATCACTGGTTGTGGTCCAAGCCTCCCCACTCTTGCAAAATGGTGACAATATAATATTGAATTAAAACTTCTTTAAATAGCTAGAAGCAATATATTACCAATATT